GTAGAGTTTGAAAATGAATAATCTCTATAAACATCAATAGCAAATATTAAGGGTTTCCACATCCAACTAGAAAGCATCCACTTCTCAGTATGCTCCAAAGAGGCCTTTTTGATTTGATTCCTAACAGAGGAGGTTTTTTTGGTTTTTTTACCCTTTGACAGAATTACTAAGGACATCTGATTAAAGCGTTTCTTGAGCAACACAGGAGAGCACCCTGGAGGAGTGTGAATGCGCACTGTGTGAAAAGTCACAGGGACAGACAGAAAGGAGGCCTCCCCCTGGCTCCTTTCTCTCTCTCTGCAAAGCCCTGATCTGTGCAACTACAGCATGGGGAGCAGCACAGCACTTCCAAGTGACCAAGAGACTCTGAGAGCTGGAGAGAGCATCAAGCTTCTTAAAAGAAACACAAATGCACGTACAGCTTGCAAGAAAGGAGCCATCAATTTTGTTCATGAGCTTCAACTCAACACCACGTCTGGCGGGATCCCAGCCCGTCACCAAGGAAAAGGAGAACTGATTTACCAAAAGGCTTTTGCTGAGCAAGATAAAACAGGACCTTTTCAGAGGGAGGGCAACACAAGCAATAAAGGCTATTTCTGAGGCTTTTATGCCAGGTTGGGCAGGTAATGGAGGAAGAGGGAAGAGGGGTGAATGGGGAAGGGGGAGGAGGGGAGGAAATACCACCAGGGACTCACTTTTGCGGTAAAGTTTTTGTGAGCGAGAACACAGGAAAGCTGACAGCCAGCTCTCACTCTATGGTATTTCTAAGTGTGTTACTTGGAGAGACAGCCTCTTTCTTAATACCGACGCACCTCGTTTTATTGCGCTGCCGTTTATTGAGATTCACAGGTGTCGCGTTTTTAACAAATGGAAGGCAAGGCCCTCTACCAGCAAAAACATTCTGACTCATTTTTTTGCGAGTGGAGGCCTGGAACTGAACCCGCAGTATCTCTGAGGTATGTCTGCACCAAGCTGTGGGCCCCCCTCCTCCACTTCTAATTCAAAGGCCTGAAAGCAGGGCGCAGGTGGTGGTATTTTTAATCTCCCCAGGTGATTCTAATATGCAGCCACTCTTCCTGATGTCATTCTTGGTGTATTTACAAGCA